CTCTTTCCGAAATCTCCTTACTTTTGCCCGTAACCAATTCGCGACGGCAGGGGTGGGTCGCAAGAGGTGTGGGAAATTTATCGGAGGCCACAAAAATAAACTACGCGAGAGCGTAATAATAAGAACAATTATATTTGCAGAAATATGATAAAGTGGCCTCCTCCGGTGCTCTGCAAGGGGTGCATGGTGAAAGTATGGTTCCTTTCGTATGCGACAGCGGTTACGAGCAATGATATAAAATAATACAACCTGCTTAATACAACGGTTTCCGGATGCGCGTCCTTCTCTCTTAGCTTCTTCGGCCTTCCTTCCAATCCAGTCCTTCTCGGTCTTCCTTCCAAGGGTGGCGGGCGAGACGGCACGACGATACAATGGCTGCATTCAGCAAACTCAACAGTTGAGTGAGCACTCGCTGCTATTGATATATCTAGATCTAAAATTTGGACGATCTAAAAGAATACACCAATAACAGCGAGCGCTCACTCAACTGTTGAGTTTGCTGAACGCAGCCAATGAGATTTCACAGCAGCTGCCGAGCGTAATCCGTGGCGCGTCTACGCTTTCGGCGTCGTCTACAATACACGGAGTAAGAAGTAAGAGTAAGAAATTGACCAATCACAGTCGAATGTGAGAAGAATAATCGACTGTGATTGGTCAATTTCTTACTCTTACTTCTTACTCCGTGTATTGTAGACGGGCCTTTCTGATACGCTTTATCGTTACGCAAAAGAAATGCTAATACAAAAGAGGAAAATCTGCCGAGTAAAATAAATGACGTGAGTTTTAACGCGCGTTCACAGGTGCGCTTGCACGCGCGCTCGCGTGCGCACTCGCCCGCCCGCTCGCCCTTCGAGCCAATAGGAAGCGTGGGTGGCACCCAGTTGGACACGGTTTAATTGGACACGAGCCACTCACAGCGCTTGAGACTCCTAAGCACCGGTCGCTGTGATTGGTGGTGTCCAATCGAGCCGTGATCAATCGGGATCACCCCGGAAGCGCGAGTCCGCCGTCGACAAGTTCGCACAGTGACGGACAAAATGTCACGTCACAGTACACACGAGATTTGACAGATCATGGTCGGCAATGTGCGATCGCGAGAAATGAAACTGCTGCTAGCTAAAAATATATCTCGCCACGTGCATCTCTTCACCATGCATCACGCATTGTTTCAAAATAGGTATCTATACTTGCATTTACATGGTAATCTGAAATGGTTGATTATTTAGATTTGAGATTATTGCACATTTGAAAGCCTTTACTGCTTGTTTTAACAAGATGAAATAAAAGAGAGAAAATGCTAAAGAAGAAGAAAAATAAACAAAAAGATAAGGAAAAGAAGAAAGAAAAAAAGAGAATTTGCAGATGAAGAAAAAAGAAGAAAAATCTTTTTTAATATTATTAAAAATTTTTCATACTGTTTGAATCTTTAAGGATTTATTTTAATTCTTAATAATTTCTTCTCTTCTTGTTTACCTTCTTTTCTGTCTTTCTCTTATTTCTCTTTTATTTTTGTTCTTCTCTTTTCATTCTTTTCTTCTTCATTTTCTGCTGCGTTTTTCCTCTTTAATTTTTTTTCTTTTTTTGTTGTCATCTCTTCTTTCGTCTTTCTTTCTTTGCTCGTTGTAGCTGTTGAGTTGTAACACAAGAAGCTGCAAATTATTTTATGAGTCATAATGCTTACTGAAATTACAATAAAACTAATTTGTTTTGATAAAAAAAACAAATAATTTTTTTTTCTCTGTCTCTAATATCATAATTCAACATAATTGCGATAAATTATGATCATTCGAAAAATAATTCCCGATATTTCCGAGCTGTAAATGCGCGATGCGGTCGATGCAACATCGTTATTAATACATTTCTTTGCTCACGCGGAAAAAAATTATTTTAAATTGCGGTGGAGTAATTATCGGACGTAATGCTTGGCATACGGATGTTTATCGCAAGAAACCTTACCTTGACGATAAGCGCAAGATAATAGCCGATAACCTAACAAAGTGATTACGCAGTAATTTATCGATAATACAAGGAATAGATAAGAAATTTTGGTGAGAATAGTCTCACGTTCAAGAAAATATATTACAAGGGCAAAGTGCGTAATATAAAATATCAAATAAAGCAAACAATCTTCCAGTTTCGATGAAGACAATAAGAAGCTTTTGGATTTTTTCGGCTAAAAAAATATTTGTGTAAAATTAATCTATCGTATGTAAAAATAGAACTACGTGGTTTGTATTGAATGAGAAATTTGCAATGTTAAATTGTATAGTAATGCTTCCTGTTTTCTTGGAATCCGAGATAAAGCAATATGAAACAGTCGTCTCTTTTGTTCCATTATAGTTCCATTGTTACATCTGAAGATCTATGCAAAATTTGAGCACAATTTTCTTATTGGTTTAAAAGTTATTTATTCCTTTCCATAGTCTTGAGTTTTATGTAAAATCGCGTTTTGCAATACTTATTTGCAAATTTGATGAGGAAGTAACATCAAGAGTTGAATCAAATTTTAATAATAAATACTGATCAAACAATAATAAATATTTAAGCAAAAGCTAATTTGATTGCATTTACTCATTTAAAAATTATTGCTCTAAATCTGCAGAAAAACATAATCATTTCGCTACATAAAACGTAAGCAAATTAAGTATATGTTGTTTTGTCTTTTACAGTTGGTTTCAGGATGTATTCGCGAGCTGTAATATCAGCAAAATTTTTTCAATGGCTGCGTTCAGCAGAAAAAACAGCTTTGCAACTGTTGTAAAATTTTTTAATATTATTGATTTATACATTTAAATCCAGTGAGGAACTAAGGACAAGATCAATCATATTAAAGAATTTCACAACAGTTGTAAAGCTGTTTTTTCTGCTGAACGCAGTCATTACTGGCTTATTTTGTCTGATTGTTTGATTGATACTTTCAGCTGATATTGTATAACAAAACATCATGAAAAATAACAAAGATAAAAATTTAGAAAAAGAAAAGAAGAGAGAGAGAGAGAGGAAGCTCCCTCTCAATTTTTATCCTTATTATTTTTAGATTTGTATTTTTTCACATTTTTATTATTATTATATTTGTATTGTTTCGTTATCGTCTTTTATTTTCTTTTTTTTTACTTGTTGTTTTTATATTCTTAGAGAACTTGTCTTAGAATGTTGATAATCACCTTTTTTTTATCTATCTATCTATTTCTTTCTCTCCCTTTCTCTTTACACGGATAATAGTCTCTTGCTACTTTCTTGCGTTCTGACGTTCAAGCGCGTGCACCTGCTCTTTATATCGCGTAACTCGGTAACTGGAAGCATTGCGTAACTTCTTACGCGTGCGTTGGTTGTCATCATTCTCTGTGGAGTTCACATCTGCTGGATAAAGCAACAGCCTTTTTCTTCCACAATTTAATAATACGCAAAACACGCTTGCATAATGTAGAGCGTTGTAGCTTTATCAGATCATTGTAGAATCTGATGAAATGATAAGTGTTGCAGAAACAAGGCGTGCTTACGCAACGTTGATAAGCATAAATAGAACGATTAATAGAACAATGTTCATTGCCAAGCGGATCAAATATTTCCATAGAGATCCTGGGGCCAGATTTGAGCCACCTATCAAGCTTGTCAACGATAGTTATCTATACCAAAAGTTGATTATATATGTATATATAGTGTACATTCGTACGTTCAGTCGGGCAGTAAATATTCGCTTAACACAACATTTCCTTGACATTTATCACGTGAGAACTGCTTCTTTGTTCATGTTAAAATGTTCGATCAGCCGTTTTAACAGTCACGGTTGAGAAGAGAGGAAAAAAGGGGATCGCGCATTTTAATTAACTCAGGAATCACCTGATGTTATTTTTACGTAAATGATCACCTGTATTGTAAAAAGTCAAACGTGCAATGATGACTCAATCTTCTGAGTTAAAATAATATTTTATTTTCCAATCTCTCCATTTCTGTGCTTAATTTCAAAGTAAATAACATTCATATATTAACGTATGCACTTAGCAAATAATAAAGTAAATTTTAATCAATACATTTCTTGAGTTCAATTGTTTAACTTTATTGTTTTAGTTAAATTATTGATGAGAGACGCCAATTAAAATTATTGCATTAACAACTTATTATTGATTATTCTCCAATTTATTAGTATTTACGAATATGGATTTAATTATAATTTTTTAAATCCTATTTTCTAAAAAAATAAGTAGAAACCAATTAAATAAAATAAGCATGTCAAGAAGCTTATTATGACATGACAGTATTTCTAAAAAATAAAAATTTTAATCAAATAAGATAAATTTTATTTTTCGGTCGAAGCAGATTTTATTGTTAGTGCTTAAATATTTCTATATAAATTTATATACATATCTAATCCTTTCATATTTAATCCTTTCCTTTCTCACAGTCCATTTTAAATTGTAATTGTTTATAAAAAGTTTAATTAATATGACGTTTTATATTTTTGATTGGAGTATAAAAATCGTCAGGTGACCAGAGTATAAAAATAGAGGCGGTTAATTCCTGGCTTAAATATTGGCGAATGCAAAGGCTTTGATAAATTCATTAAACACACTGTAAGAAATTTCTATTGTAAACTTCCAAAAGCGTTGGAAGTTTTATCCAACAAAAATGTGTTGTAAATTTAAACAGTATTATATTGTAAAATTACAATAACATTTTGTGATGAAGTATATGCAGATCTCTAATACTCATGCGCAGCACGCCGGTTTTGTAAATTCACAACAAATTTCTATTGTAAATTTACAAATATTACGAAAGGGAGGGCTCCGGTTGCACACATCGCATATTGCACGCATGTATCGCTGATTGGCCAATTTAAAAATAAAGTTATCTCATTGGCACAACAGTGAAAAATTACTAGGCACCAGTTGATATGAGTGGTGTGTACAATCAGAACTGTAGGCAAACGGGATCCTCCCTCACAAACATTTCTAACAGTGCACCCCTGATAATCCCCTCATCCATGGTGTTCTTTCAGCCAGATGGACCCTGCCCTTGACGGACGTTCTGGCGGTGCGCTACGGCGACGACTGGATATCGGGTGTGAGTATTAAGGAGAAGCAGCCGGAGCAGACGACCTCGCCGACTACGGTGTGCCCGACGAATTTCATCCTGCACTACGCCGTGCGCGGATCCAAGAACAAATGGAGGCACCACAGCGTGACGATGAGCCACACGGATCCCAGGCAGGTCGCCTCGTGGGTGAAGACCATTCGCAATTACCTCCTAGGTGAGTTGTCGTTCCACTCAATCGTCCTCCTCAAGGAACTACAAGTCACGATAATGTCATGACAAAATAATATTACTTTACTTAAAATGCAAATAATTGATAATAAAGGAAATATATGTATTAATATATGTATAGAATGATAAATGAAAAAATGCCACGGGAGGAAGCATTTTGCAGAAGTGTCTAAAAATTTAACTATACAGAGAGCTGGAAATAATTTTGTTAGATCATCAAACTTGGAATACAAATTAATAGTAACGTTAATTAATGTTATAATTTTCTGCTTAACAATATAAATGTAATATAACACACATAACAGAGTTACGTTGTTGAGTAGGAAATCATAACATTGATTTAATGTTAGTTTGTGTACTACGAGAAATAATTCTGTAGGACGCTCAAGTTGGCTGCTAGAATGTCGAAAGTTTTCGCATTAATTATACATCAAGCTTGTTTCCAACACATTATTTTAATGATTCAACCAAATTATTTTCAAACCAAAACCATTCTTTCCATAGCCAAGAATATAAAATAGAAGCTAAAGAATATGGGACTGCAAGAAAAATTCAGTAGATACACTGTTAAAATTTATCTCTATTTTTCATGAAAATTTATGAAATTTAATATACTTTTTATAAAATTTTATGAAGAGTACATTAAATATTATAAATTTAATGTACACGTTCATTACATTTAAGTAACCACTGTAACTTAATTTTCAGTTAAATCATTCATTACTTTTAATTTCGTTCATAACCACGAGCTTCATTTACATGTAAAGGGTTACGTTTGTGGTTACATTTCTAACAGTGTAACAAACAGAATTTCGAAACAAATAATTTTATTCAACGTATAGCAGTCAAGTATAGAAATGATAAAAATGACTCGTGACTGATTGGAAAATGACTTTTAGTATTTTAGAGTCATTTTAACGTCATTTCGATGTCATCATGACTTGTGTTCTGCTTGGGTCACGCCGTTCTAAATCCACCGAGGCGTTTATTCGAAATCAGCTTCGTGAAGTGACTCTCGCGATCAACGCGTTGGCCGTGTAATAATTTTAGAATTGCGACGTAAAATATACGCGCGAGAAGGCGTATAGCAGATCATTATCATAAATTACGAAATGAGATGAGTGTAAAGATTAAATAGAACCATAAAATTGAGTTACGGAGCGGAAGGCTCGTGTTTATTATCGAAAATTGACGACAATATATAATATGACACGAGGAATCGGCTTTGTATCGAAGGCCAGAGACAATTAACACAGAGAACAATTAATGGCATGACTGTAATTTTCTACATCCCATGTATAGCATTAGAAAATGCATACGTATTATTTTAGCGATATGCGAAGCTGACGTTATGTCTGCGATCGAGACTCGTTTGTGTAAACTTTTTTTTCATTGTTTGCCAAAGAGTGACGATTTTCCTCACCGACTTGTTTGCTGAAAAAGGTATAAAGAAAGACAAGTATAATAAATTAAAAGTAACTTGTGCAAAAAATTAAGAAGTAATATGGAAGAGCGTTTTTAACGTGTAAAATTATTACCGCATTGAATACACTTGGAAATGTTAGAATGATAAAAGAAACAATAGAAGCAAAATTATTCGCTTTTCCTCGTTGGAAAAAAGCGTGTAAAAATGGGAGAGGCTCAAGAGAGCAGACAATCAAATTCGTCATTGATCTACGTGACTCATGAATTAATGAGAACTTGCTGGCTTCTAATATGCATTGTTGCTGATATCATTGCGATATAGCGAATATAAACAGAATAGTAATATAATATCTTCGTAGATTTAATGATGACACTTCAGCAACTCGAGCATCGAAAAGTAATACTACACTGTTAGGTACATGATAGGAGCAATGGTGGCCCAATCTCTTAAATTAAACAATATTTTGTTATTTTTAGCTTCCATATGTGTCAGAATGTAAATTAATCAATTTCCATGATTAGTTTGAAAGTAAACATTGTCTATATTAATGTATGCATTTAGTACAAAATAAATTAAATTTGAATCTCAAATTTAATTCATGTTCTTAAATTAAGTTGTTCCATTGTTTAAATCAACAGTTTAATTCACTATATATTGAGAATATAGGCGGTCTAAATGAAAATTAAAAGAATTGATTAAAAATAACTTAAAGCAGGTATAATTGGCATTATGAATCTAACAGTGAAAGGAAAAATGAAATCATGGACCTTAAAAAATCGTAGTAATTAGAAAGTTAAAATAAGCGATTAAAATCAAGATAAAGCAATTGCCAAATTAAAAAGATTATTTTTAAATTATCTTGAGTCCATAATTTTCAAAACAAAGATTATGTTAGAAGATACGTTATAAAATAAAAAACTATAAACTTTATATAACATTTCCGTTTTATATTTATATATTCATAAAATGGAGATATTATACAAAGTTCGTATAGTTTTTTTTTATTTAATTATGTGTTTCTTTGCTTGTATATACAGATTCAGGAGTCAAAGATAAGTTAAAGATAAGATTTTATGATAAATCCTCAGTTATTGATTGCTGTATTGTATAGATCAAAATGTTTTTACGATAAACAACTGGTTTTTCTCTGACTATTTTTCTATCGCAATTAAAGCCAGAAACGTAGTATGTAAAGCAACCAGTTAACCCAGTTGGAATCGACATAAATCGCAATGAAAGGTCCGCTACGAGAATATACGCGGTGATCCTAAAACTTTGATAGAACGCAGCGCAGCCAGTCAAACTAGTTGCAGTCTGCATGAAAGTTTTATTATCAGTAGGTCAGTTTAATTTCACGAATTTTGATGGTTCCCGAATTAAATTGTTATTCTACGGTTTCGTTACTTACATTGTAGATTCCTATGGCTTTCGAGCTAGAGAATCATTGCTATAACTCGTCGATCTCGACGTTTACGAATTTCGGTTGACGCTTTTCCTAATTTCAAATATCGCTATCTCAATTCTCTAGTTTCGTCATTCATGTATTTCTCCCATTTCGCCGTTTCTAGATTTCCCAAATTAGATTGAATTGCTGCTCCGCTTAGGAGCGTCGCAAAACGAATTAAGCAAAATGCGATCTCTTGGCTCAGTTAAGGAGGTTTTCGCGTTTAATGAAATATAAGACATATAATATATATATGTAATAAAACAGTTAATAATACCAATAATGTCTAGAAAAAATTTTATTGACTTTTACCGTACCATTTTGAAGATATTTAAATCTAAATTTATAAAATTTTACATTACAAGTTGAAAGTATAATCTTATTCTGTAATTATTATCTTTTAAATTGAGACACTTGCGTATAAGATAGCAATTAAAAAATCATTATAATTATAAAGTAAACACTTAAGTTTGTTCTCGTAAAGTTTCATTTAAACTGAACGTATAGTTTACAAGAAATTTATATTCTTCAATGCAAAAAGCTAGAATATATGTCAAATGGACGATGCGTATATGTATATACATCAAATGAGCATTTTACAACTTTTTATTTTGTTATTTTGAAAATATTTAATAACATATAAAATAATTATGTATAATAGCATAAGATATTGTTAGTAATCTTTTTATTTCATTATAATTGTTTTACACATTATTATAAATAAACTGTCCATTGACTAGGAAATAGCGCGAGAACCTCCTTAACATACAGCGTGTTGCAGTGGGATGAGCTGCTTCGATGTAGGAAGAGAAAAAACGAAAGAAAGAGAGAAGGAGAGAGAACACAAATTTTAATAAATGTCGAGAAAACAAAGAATAGTGCTCTAAACTATCCTTATCGATCGTCGTCGCAAGTTAATAACTAAGTAAGTATTGATCTGGAGGTTTGCCATGCTCGTGTAATCGCTGTTTTCCCTCGTTCGATTATCGACGTTGCATCGCGTGTTGTGAGAAAAATCGATAGAGACAATTTTACATGATTAAACTTCTTCCTTCGTGTCTCCGTTTGACCCATTTTCCTTTTTAAACAGCGAAGTTGATTAAATCGCGATGAGGAAAAGAGGAAGTTTGTTAAAAATACGAGTACGTCATTGTTTTAATTTAGCGTAGGTAGTCCTGTAAAAAGTCGAAACAAAAATGAATTTTTTAATCAACAAGCAAGATAAGTTATGATTTTGTAACAATATTGCTTTTGATGCTTCTGAATTTTCTTTCAGGCTTATATTTTTAAGGCATTACATTTCGACATATAAGAAAAAAATTTGATTGTCTATCTCCGACGCCAGAATTAAACATAATTGCAGTAAGAAAAATTAGGAATCTTTACTTAATTCCTCCTAAATAATATATTTTTGATAATAAATAGTTAAAAAAAATTTACAATTAATTTACGATTAATAGTTGATTTTTGCATCGACAAATTAAATAAGTTTCAAGAAACATTTCCAGGCAGTAATCAGACTTTTGTATATATAGATATAAAGAATAAATGAATGTTTAATTAAAATCTAAAAAATTGTTTACAAGAGAATTTCTGAAGTTCGGGAAAATTGAAGAAAGCCAAGGCAACAAATTATTCGAATTAAGAGAAGGATCGAAAGCAGAATATAATTTGCAATTGAATCGTTTTAGGTCTGACGTATCGGCCGCGAAAGATAATGCTATTTATCAATCCCACTGGCGGTAAGAAAAAGGGTGTCAAGATCTGGGAGAAGGATGTTCAACCACTCATGACCATCGCTGGCATCGAGACAAAGATGATGGTCACGGAGCGTGCAGGCCACATTCGCGACGCTCTGCTCACGGCCGACTTGAGTGACCTACATGTGAGTCCTGCAAACATTCTATTCTACGTTCATGTGAAGTTCGAAGCTAGACGTTCCGACTCGGAAAATAAATGTATCTACATTAATCTAGAAAATTTTTTAGGAGCAATTTTCGCAGAGCTCTGCATTTATATTTGTATTATTATTTTCAATATTTATATTATATTATTTTATATATAAATAGATATATAATGTAAATTATCTATCAGAAACTTGGATTTAGAAATTTTAATATAGATTTTTATGCAATAAAAATATTAAATACTATTTATATAAAATTTATAGAAAATCAAGCAATCTGTAATATTTTCCGAATATTCACAATATATTTAGATTTAAAACGTATTTACAAAAATTGTACCTCTACTAGGTCATAAAGAAAAAATTATAGGTCATACAGAAGAATCATATATCTGTCATAAAATGACACACCCTACGAATATATGTAGTTTATCACCCTCCAGGGACTCTAGAAGGGTTGGGCTACTTCTAGTAACCCTCTTCCTTAAAAAAAATAAAATATTGAAGAATTTCCAAGGAAATTGAAGAAGATTAAAATTAGACACTTGAGCTGTTATTTTCTCCTCTTAGGGAGCCTAAGGTTCAACCTGGGTTATCGAGTTACTTTTTTAAGTAACAAGTGACTTTTTAAACTCATTACAGGCAACGAGTGACTTTTCCAATGTGATATTACAGTTATAAGAAATTCTTAACGTCATCAAATCGTTATTACAACAAGTAACGATAAAAGTAACAGCGTTACAAGTAACACGCATTATTTTTCATCTTTGTACGATACGTAAGTAAAAGAATTCGAAGTATCCTCAAACTAAACTTTTCGCGTTCGCAGGCGGTGG